TGCATGAGGGAAGCGACTATCTTGGGATTCGTCTGCAGTGAGAAAGGCCGAAGGCCGGATGTGAAGAAGACGGACAAGATTGTTGAGTGGCCGGTTCCGTTCCACTCAATAACTGATGTCAGGAGCTTCCGTGGTACGTGTGGATTTTGGAGGGCCTTCGTCAAGAACTTTGCCGCTAAAACTGAACACCTGAGGAAGTTAGTCCGTCAGGATGAGGAATGGGTATGGGGTGAAGAGCAAGAAGAGGTGGTGGCAAAAATGAAGGAGGAATTTCGAGAAGGAGGGTTGGTGTTAGGAGCGCCAGATTATGACGCCACAGAGACGCGATCCTTCATTGTCGAAACGGATGCGGGACCGACTGCCTTAGGGGGAGTTCTAATTCAGGCAGACATGGAAGGAAAGGAAAGACCCTTGCGATTTGAGAGTCGGACTCTCTGTACAACGGAAAAGAACTACTCTCAGATCAAGAGGGAGACCCTTGCTGTCCTCCACTGTCTGCGAATCTTCCGGAACTATATCTTCGGCAGGAGGTTTATTTTGAGAGTGGATCCGACCGCCCTGGCCTACTCTCTAAGGAATTACGTTCCATCGGATCCAACGGTTGCCAGATGGCTRACGTACATCTGGATGTTCAATTTTGAGTTGGAACGGATTCCTGGCAGCAAGAACCGGGCAGACGGGCTGAGCCGGATCAACAGGGATAGATAGGAAGGGGAGGCGGTGGAGAATACGTGGTCGCCGCGAGTGCCCAGCTGTGTAGGCTATCCTATTTGGCAAGCGCCGAACGGGTATGAAAGGAGGAATGAGCTAGTCCTTAAGCCCTTTGAGGAAGAGGATCCCTGGGGTGGTAAGGATGTTCAGTGGATGATGGAATTAGCGCTGGCCAGCTCGCATAGCCTGGTGGAGGATATGAGCACGATTGAGGAAGGACCTGGCCAGGTAGAACGGCATGAGGTGCTGATGGGAGGAATGTATCTCCTCGTCAATACGTTATTGCAGGAAAGCCTAGACCAGTCAGGCTCGTTGAACCCAGCAGGGAATGTGAACGAAGTGCTCGAGAGCCAGGACGACGAGTTCGAGGAAGGGGAGATTAAGGAGGCATTTCATGCAGAGGAGTACGACGGGATCTACCTAGAGCTGGGGCTTCTTCTGTCCTGTGAAATGCGGCTTAGGAATGCAAGCGATAGAGCTCAGAGGATGCTGCGGCGCTATTTAGTGCGAGACGGCCACCTTTTTGTGCGAAGAGAAGCGGGAAATCCTAGGAGAGTCGTCTGCGGTAGAAATCGTCAAATCGACGTCATAGTTGCGCTTCATGATGGCATTGCAGGAGGGCACCGAGGGATACAAGCTACGTATGCCAAGATAAGTGAGCTCTACTACTGGGATGGAATGATGGATATGGTCGGGAAGTT